GTGATGAAACCTGTCTCTCAAGTAATCCCAGTTCGACGTGTCCACAGCGTCTGCTTTGTTCAACTCGAGCGGTTCTCCCGCTGAGATGTTCGTTTTTGGCAGAGACGAGTTTGCATGCCAGAGATCATTTTGTGCAAGCAGCTCCTGAAATTAGCTTTTTGGCTCACCTGCCAAGTACTGTTTAAGTACAAAAAAAAGTATCTGCCAAGAATATTTTCGTTCTTTCCGGCCAAAATCATCAATAAGTAGAACGCTTTTTATAGAAACACATCAAATTTATAAACCTGTTCCTATCTGGAAACATGTCCTGTGTGAAATATTCTTGCAATTAACAGACAAGAGCACATTAATTCACACAATCATTTATACAACGGATGAATGTAGCTTTCCCTTCAGACAACACAGAACCAGGACTGCATTTAGTTAAAGTTTGTAAAGGGTCAAAGTCTGAGGCCGAGGCCCACACTCGTTTAAAAGAGAGGAAACTGAAATGTTGTAATGGTAATTCAGACCCTGAGTTCAAGCACTTATTGTTAGTCTGAGGTGGGTGATATTTCATTCTCGACACTCTGTGTATGTTTGTCTCTCTGCCCTTCTGCAGGATTACGGTTTTCTCCTGTTTGTCTTTATAGTTTCTGCATCTTTGGGCTTCCTAGAAAGGGCAAACCAAGTCAAGTTGTATACATAAATATGACAAGAATAATCTCTGCTTAAAGTGGAGATTAAGAAGGGGAAAATGAGCTTGTTGGTTGGAGAGTTATGGTTAAGATTTAGGGAAGGTTATGCTAATGTAAAATACAATATGGTTAAGCTCAATTTCTTTAGCTATGCTGATGACACACACTTGTATATTTCACTGAACTCAACTGATGACTAAACTTTTTGCCATTTTAAACTAGTTTGGCAGCAGTAAACAAGTGAACTTTTTTAAATTAAACGGCCCGCCAACAATAAGAGCTAGTTCTTGACGAATTTGGCAGTTTGGCCCCACAAGGTAAGACCAATTTTTTGGCACTTTGAGCTCCTCGAACCGATCTGGTTCCATTATTTTTGGGTAAAATAAATAAATAAAATCAAGATCATGACGTGATGTAAAGTCCAGTCTTTGACATTAAAGTTGACTGCACTCATCCACTACTCAGACCTCCACTCACTTACTTTCCACTTCACTACTGAACAAACACATTACTTCCTGGATTAGCACTGAGCGTTGGCAGTGGACACACAGTAAATCTGTGCTGCAGATTTGTCCAGAATGAAAGGAACTCCTGGGGATACAGAGCTGGAGAGGAGTATTGAAAACCCGACAGAACGGGAGACAAATTGTTTGCATTCAGCACTTTGTGTCTGCTTCTGATAGGGACTTTTCCAGTTCTCTCCTCCAAGTGTTAACAGGTTAATCACAGACACCGTCCCTCAGAGGCGGCAGAAGAAAAAAAAAAGACGATTTTAAGCCGAGGTGAAAATGAGGCCCGTTTGTCCTTCTGCAATGTCCTTCTGAAGCTGACACCGTGAATTCGTTTTTGCAGCTTCTGAGAACTTCAGCGTCTCGCTATCTAGTTCCTAATCTTTCAATTACTGTGTGTGAGTGTGTGTGTAGGGATTTCAGAGATAAAGACATGTTTGTGAGGGTGTGCACAAGAGCACCTGGGTGACCACACACACGCATTTATAACATTATGACCATTATGGACTGTACTTGTATACCTCCTGTCTAGGCCACTCAAAGCACTTTTACACTACATGTTACATTCACCCTTTCATACACTCATCAAAAACAGAAACTATCCATTAATCCACATTCACACATCGACACATAGCATTGGGAGCAATTTTGGGTTCAGTATCTTGCTCAAGGATACTTATACTTATATTAGTAGATGTCTTGCTGTACCTCCTGAGACACAGCCGTCCACAGTCGTAGGTGAAGTGAATAATACTGATTGTTTCGTTATAATGGCTCCTGTCAGTGGGGGGGGGATATATCAGGCAGCAAGTGAACATTTTGTCCTCAGAAGAAGTTAGAAGCAGGAAAAATGGGCATCTGAACGACTTTGACAAGGGCCCCATTGTGATTGAGTCAGGGAGCTCAGTGCTTATAATGTTATGGCTGATAACGGTAACAATATGTTATAGTTATAATGTATGTAATCAGGTGAAAAAGTTAGGCATGTATATGTGACTGTGCACAAAACTCTACACTACATTAAAATAAAAACTGCCTTTATAGAAGAGTCCTGAGAAAGTCTAAATATTTCCTGGGTCAGTCCGTGCTGGAATAAGACTCACACACTTGCAGTAATGTGGTATGGCAAATTTAGAGCTTCTCTGTCAAAGCTAATTCTCTTTTCTGCTAATCTCTCAAGCCAGATCCCTCTACCCCTCTATCACTCCCTCTCTCTCCCTCTATCAACACGTTAGTTATTCAAGCAGAGGGAATCTGGCATAAGTCATTTGTCAAACTGAGATAGAAGAAGGGGGGGGGGGGGAACTACAAAGTGAAGTGTTTTTTTTCCTCAATTTTTCATCCAATGACTAAACAGTGTGGCGCTCAAAGATACGGGAGTGACGACTGAGGACATCTGCACATTTGAAGCATTTCATTTCCAATGACATACATTAATAATAGGAGAAATAAATTATTTAATCAGTTGATATTTCACAACTGTCATTCACTAGCCTATATTTACACTGTCTGCAATATTTCAACATTAACTTGACTCAGGCAGGAAATGGAAAAGAATTTTCCATCTAAAAAGCAATTCAGTTACCAAGGTCAGAGTCAAAATAATAAAATTAAGTTGTGGGGTTATTTTACACAATACTGTTAAAGGCTCTCGCTCAGATGTTTTGTCTTTTTTAAATAGACAATGGAAGTGTATATAGTGCCTATTAGCACCCACATGTCTACAGATTTCCTTCCAGCTATGAATGCACTAACAATGAAGCATACATTTCAGCAGAATAGAGCAGATCTAAAGCCCTGAAAGCCTCCACAGTTCTGGAAAATATAAAGAAAAACCTTCATCAGTCTGCAGAGTATTATTTTTATTTCTAATGTCATTTACTAGCATGTTTATATATATATTCATATGTTTTTAGCCATGCTAGCTCTTGGGTGACAAGGTTTCAAAAATTAACAAATGGATCGCTATGAACTTTGGTA